GGAGTTCCTTAACGAGTGACGATAGGTCCTTAAAATTGTGCCGATGAATTTCTAATGACTTCTGGCTGAGATTTCCAGCTGATTTCCACGTGACATTAAAAATGAATAGCCCCTTGTCTAAAATTCCACGGTATCACAAACGACGTTCAGAGTCCCTAAAGGGTGCGTCCCAAAACCATGGCTGATAGCCCTCCACCCTACAACCACGTGGGCGTTCTTTCTAATTCCTTCCCTCAAGCCCTGTGGGGAAGAGTTGGCTCGAAAATGGCGTTGCTCTCTGACGTATTCCCGGTTAATTTTTAATTCCCAATACGCCATGCCAGGCGCCCAGAGTTTTGTCACACTCGAAATGTCCGACAGCGTCGCAATCGGTCGCGCCGTCGCCGTCGCTGATAACCTCGATCGGTTCCGGGCACGCGTCTACGTTATTATTTTATCCACTGCCGAATAAAGATGCGACTTTTCGCAGCCGAGGGTCCAACGTACAAGGCGACCCTTTCTTTTCCGTCGAGGTTCCTGGCGACGAGGGCCGAAAACGGGGGGAAAAAAAAAAGAAGATGAGAAAAGGTAACCGGGAAATCGGCCCGAAGTACGGCCATCTGACGGGTAGATAACGCGTATCATCGCGAAGCACAATAAAAACAACCACCCGATCCATGTCGGTGCAATAAAGCCCTCCGAGCGAGTAATATAAATATAGCCGTAAAAAAAGGAGAGAGCGAGGAGTCAATGTCAAAATTTGGAAAAAATTCCCGAGGGCGCGTCCACTCAAACCGCACGTAGGTGGACTTGCCAAGGCGGCCATTTTGCATTAATAATAATGCCTCTATGTAAAGTCCTTCGATATTAAAACGCCTTCAAGCAGAACTCGTAGGCCGGTTCCCTCTTGCTATTCCTCATTCACGAGGAATGATCTCTCGACGGTCCATTTTTACGCGAGTCAACGAAGCGCGGCTCGATATGCAAATCGGGCCAGAAAGAGGGGCGTTATTAAATTTGAATAATAACCCGAAATACCTGCGAGCAGGAGCCGACACGTGTTGCGCCCAGCGAGCCGATAATCGCCGCATTGTCCCCATAATTATACAATTATAAATTCGGACAGACTTTCGGCGAAATTGTCGACCTCTTTCCCTCCCCTACGGAGTTTATGAAATTCATTTTTTCCACCGACGAGTGACTTTTACCTCAGGATGCAACTCCATGAAACTTGCATACAGCGGTTTCGCCTCGGAAATCGAGGAGCCCGGTCGAAATTCATTTTTTTTTTTTCATTTCATTTTTTCATTCATTTCATCAATTCATTTTTCATTCATTTTATCATTTCATTTTTTCCACCGCCGAGTGACTTTTACCCCAGGATGCAACTCCATGAAACTTGCATACAGCGGTTTCGCCCCGAAAATCAAGAAGCCCGGTCGAAATTCATTTTTCATTTAATATTTCATTCATGTCATCACTTCATCAATTCATTTTTTCCACCGCCGAGTGACTTTTACCCCCAAACTGCAGCTCCATGAAACTTGCATACAGCGGTTTCGCCCCGGAAATCAAGGACCCCGGTCGAGATCCACGGGTGATTCCGCCGTTATCTCCGTTATCACTGCCCCTCGCGCATTCCCACGCGAGCCTGAACGCATATCGATGGGCGCCGATAAGCCCGCTCGCTTTACGTAAACCGACGAGGGCCGACGGCGATAACGATGTAAACAATGTCGAGTCAATGAAGCGCCGAAACGACGAAACGTTTGCACGGCGGATGTCGGACAAAAAGTCTTGCCAAAAACGAGGCAAATTTGGAAATAATCAGACCCGACGCGATATGGCCGAGCAGAGTTGATAGGATCGAGGCGAGTGATCTATCGATCGCCTGAGACGAGCTATCGATTAATCGAAGCCGACTCGTGGGTGTCAGAACCTTCCTATCAGCCTCCCTAATCACGTTGTAAAATTCGAAAAAGGATTCGATGTATCCAGTTCAGGGTTAACATTCATAATCGAGACATTTATCGCATTCCCATCAGCTTAACCCTTTCGGGAGTAGCAAGTACCCTTGACTCCGTTTACAAGGCGCGATGATAACATTGATACCAGTAGGTACCATTAGCGCGCGAGTGTCGCGACAATGAATTCCCGTTTACATTGGCCAGGTAATTGCCGGACGAGATTACCCAGCCGGCTTCGATTTTCATCCGAATATGCTCGCAAAGGACGTAAACGAGGAATCGATATATCCCGCGTATGCAGATGGCAAAATGGCCCCGAGAGCCCTCGCTACCCCGATCTGCACTTTTTGCCGAACATTTCGAGGCAAACTCGCGACCCATCACGGATTCCTTATCTCTTATATTAAGGTGAAGTGAAACCCCCTTCAAATCAGTCGATTCTAATACAACACTTTTTTTTAACCCTTTGAGCGCTGTCAACGCATATGTGCATCCGACGTTTGGTCGAATATCGCTAGCACGTCCCGACGAAATTCACCCATACGCCGAAAGTACTTAGCGCCCAAAGAGTTAAGAGTATAAGACTAAACTGTCCGAAACTTTGACGCATCACTCCTGATCATCTAAGAATTATCCTGACACGTTGAAAATTTGGATTTTTGTAAAAAATTGTTTAACTAACTTTTTCTTTATAATTATTGTACGAAAACGACAGGTGGAGTATGCCATTTGGTACAATATCCAATATAGTTCGACCCAGCTGTCGATATAAACACGAACGTCGGCGACGTAGGCATATAGAAAAATCTTCTTTATCGACGTCGATCAAGTTCCCCGACGTGTTTCACTTCGCCTTAAACGGTAAATCGCATTAATAAATAGGGAGCACTTAAATAAACCCGCAATGTGGGATTTCCAGTGGCATTCAATGCACGCGAGGGAGGCATTAATTAACCCCTTCGACGCAAGGGCCACTCCTAAGATGTTAGGAGTGGCAAGGAATCCCCTCGATTCAATGTCAATCCCGATCAAGATGGAGGCGCTTAATGCACCATCGAGTGCATCCATTATCGTTCTCCTCGAGGGAAAAGTGTTTCCCTACGAACCAGAGACAGAAAATCTGCCGAGTGTCATCTCGCATTCATACTAATCAATCCGTCCGGCGCCTGCTCGCAATTAATATATCTCCATGGAAAGAGACATTCTATTTAAGTCCCGTTTGCTCAATTCGAGGGATAATCGGCGGTTATTAATAAATAACTCGGTGGCGAGATCGCCGACCGAAAATCGCGACGCGTGCATTCCGCGATGCGATTCCGTTGGAAGTGACCGTCGCACATAGAACTATTATTTACCGTAAAAACTAGAGACAAATTTTCTTTTTTCTTTATATAAAGTTCCTACAAAATCCTACTTTAAGTCGACATAATTATTAATTAATCTCCTTTGGAGGACATTAAATTGAGACGATACGGGGAATTTTTCCATCCCGAATATTCCCAGACTGAGAAAGAAAATTCGTCGAACCGGAGAAAGATATTTTCTTCATACAAAGAGTAATGGTCTAACTCTAATTTAAATAAATCATCATAAATCGGAAGAAACGTTGCATCGGGTTGATCCCAGTGCGAGTCGCGTATTCTTTGAATGAAATATTTTTCTCGGCTTGTCATTAATAATTTTTTTCTCGGTGTAGATGCGCAGAGGGGTTTGAAAGTCTCCGAATTACATGTCCGTCGCCCTCGCGGCGGGTTCGGGTTAAAGGGAGGCCCTTTATCTGCAATTTGTATACTAGGGATTAACTAAATGGCCGCGTTTTCCGGCTTATAAACGCTGAAAGACGCGTTAAGAGAGAGAGGCGGACGTGGTGCGAGCAGAAGTCGGCCGTACAGGAGAAGGGAGCGAGCGCGACTTCAGGGTGGCCCGGGACTAAAAATTCTTGCGTGGGCGCACAATTGCGCGAAGAGGGCGTAAATCATCCCACGGCGAGGAGAATATCGCGTTTTCCGCCAACATTCCCTTTCCCTTCGCCCCGTTATAGTTGGGAGGCACGAAAGGCATCGAACAACCAGAAGCATCCGTTTCTCCGCAGCGCAAGAGTTCCTCCAATTCAAAGAAAATGATTTCCTTGAATAACGCTCCCTCGTACCAGCCATCGGGTTCTAAAAGAAAAGAAAAAGAGAAAAACCTGTAATTACCCGAAAAATATATTCTATGAAATGATGATATCCCTTATACATACAAGTTTCATTAATAGTGGACCTCTGCGATGCGCCGATGCCGGACGCTCCTTTTCCAGGAGAACCAATGTAGGCGAGTTTAAAGGGACGATTTCGCCTTCGACCACCTCCCCTGGGTGCGTCATCCGGGACCTTGAAATCTCGGTTCTATACGCGTTAATTAATCCCTCGGCCGTCTTTAACCTACTAATAACAAGGTCCCCGTTTGCTTGTTTTTTGCGCAAACCGGGAGGAAAAGACTGGACGGACGTAGCGTCTGATTGGCCCAGTAATTCAGGTTACCTTTCGTCTAATCAAGAGATGTCGTTTTCATCTCGGGATTTCTCACCGTTTCCGCTTAATTTTACCCGGAATATCTCGAGAGTGAGACCTACCGGTAGACTTGCATTGCCGTACCATCTTTCGTTGGTGATACTGCTGTTATTTGGGGAGTTTTGGACGCCATCTTGATTTCGAAGGGCGCACTAACGGAAGCAAGTTTTATCGACTACGTAATCGAACGTCAGTATTTGGACGATGATAGGTCAGGACTTGCTCGATTGTTGGTAATTCGGCATAAATGTATGCGAATTGGTAATCTTTTTACCGAGTGTAGCGTATATTGAAAAGGAGCATTTTTTTGCTAAACGTCGGATTACTTCGGCAGGGGACCGCTAGGTGGCAGCTGCGTAGCACGGAGCCCTGGACTTCTCTCTGCTTTTACCGATATGGAGATGATGGAGGTAAAATGAGAAGGCGCGGAAGAAAAGTCACGATTGTATGTAATCATCTGGTCATATCTGGTCGTCCCTTCATGATAAGTTTGGTACCAACCTAAACTAAAAATTATTTTTCTTTTAAACGTCTCCATTATTTCCAGTATCCAATATTTCCCACTGACCTACCTCCCATAGACTCGTCATAATGTACCATTTTATAATGTATTTTATATATTAAACTCTGCTTATTTATAGGCAAATCTTGATTATCGAGGGTAACGTTAGTTTCCTCAACTCATGTAAACGAGGGAATTATGAGACGGACAATCTTTACGCTACCCAGAGGAAAATGTAAAGAGTACGAAGGGCGAAAACTAATAGGGTGAGTGAACGGTATATTTTATTAAGTAGCATTTTCCCCATAAACTAGTTACTAACGGATCGCTCAAGTTCATGATAACTCTGTATCCGTGTTGCACGACTTTGGATGCTCGTTGAATGATTCTCCAATTGTTGCTTTATCGTATGTTTCCCAATTGGTTGTTTCAAACGGTTTTTAACAGAGATCACGAGGTTTTCAAGTAGTCGTAGAGAATCCTGTACAATGTTACTATGCGAATTAAAGTCTGAAAAACAAATTACCTTTTTAGGTTTTCAATGGAGCAAATATACAATGTCGTGGCCGACATAGGGAATTATAAATCGTTTGTGCCATTTTGCAAGAAGTCTGATATTATCTATAAAAGCGACGACTTTGTGAAAGCCAACTTAGATATAGGATTTCCTCCTATCAGTGAAAGCTACACGTCAAAGGTGACAATGATAAAGCCGCAACTGGTAAAAGCAGAGTGTACAGATGGAAAGTTATTCAACCACTTGAACACCTTGTGGATCTTTAGCCCAGGACTGAAAAATAACTCACAAACTTGTGTCATTGACTTTTCTCTCTCGTTCGAGTTCAAGTTTGTTATTCACTCTCACCTGTCTAACTTAGTTTTTAACGAAATCGTGAGACAAATGGAGAACGCATTCATCGAGGAAGCCAAGCGTCGATATGGTCGGCCATGTATCAAAGCGGTTCGATTAGAGACATGACACTTGCCGATACAATGTATATACCTTGATTAAATCTATTTACTATACGAATGAGAAGTTACGAAAAAAATTCCTGAAATCTGCATGCCTGTCATTGTTTTGTTTAATTCAAGATGAACTTGGACTGGGTAGAAAAATGATTGGACATGTCCTACAATTGTATCCAACAACTGTTACTCTCAGTACTTGCGATCACTCTTATACTGCCCCAATTTCTTTTATCTTCTCATTAACCATTGATTCATATGCATCAATTTAATTTGTTAGTTTCAGCATGCTGCATGGATAATTATCTAGACATTTTAGAAGAAATTTTTTATTTTCGGAAAGCTGTTCTAAGTATCAATGACAAATATCTCAAGGATGTCAAAGTTAGCATTCAAGATCTGCGTCGTCGTTAATTTCCTTGTCATATATAAAGTATCGAGTGTATCAAATGAAACGTCAGAACTATGGGATGTTCAAGAATCTCCTAAAAGTAGTACGGTGTACTCACAACTAAAACACAATGCTCTTGTTAGAGCAATTTTTGTCCAACGGCAAGAAAGGTTACTGGTTGAATGTAGCAAAATTGTTGACAATGGCTCATGCGATACGTCGATTAAACCCGAAATGCTTCATCATATTTTGGTAGACGAGAAGCACAAATTACTCTACTGCTTTGTTCCAAAAGTATGTTTCATAATGTCTTCTATGTATCATGAAATTAAACTAAATGTGCAAACATTGTAGGTAGCATGTACAAACTGGAAACGTGTTTTGATGGTTGCCAGAGAAAAGACGACGCAAAAGGATCCTCTACTTATCCCTGCTAATCTAGTCCATTCATCCAACATGTTCAGAAGTTTAAATACATATGCTCTCGCAGATATCAAGCAAATGTTATCGACTTATAACAAACTTATAGTAGCCAGACATCCACTTGAAAGATTACTTTCGGCATACCGAAACAAATTTGAAGTAAAGAATAAACAAAGTTCAAACTACTTCCAAATACATATTGGCAAACGAATAATTAAGGTGAGTCTATGACTGAATCTATTAATACTGTCAATTAGCAATGAAAAGTATGTTATTTTGTTATCAACATGCAGAAATATAGACGCCAAGCCACAAAGGAATCTCTTAGCACAGGAAACGACGTCACGTTCCAAGAGTTTGTGCAGTTTGTAACAGACACTGCTGAAAATAGTACTCTAAATGAACATTGGAAACCAATTTCAGAATTATGCCACCCTTGTGCTATTAAATACAATTTCATCAGCAAGTACGAGACTCTGGCTGACGATGCGCTAGAAATTCTTGAAAGAATGGGGACCGACTGGATCACGTAAATATCAAGGCTTAAGTACTAAGATTAACACTATTTCTATATTAATATTATTAATAATGCCACTTAATCTATTTTTTTTGCAACAGATTTCCTCCCAGACCACGAAACAGTGAACCAACGTCAAAAAAGTTATGCGCCTATTATCCAAAGTTAAAATATGAGCAGCTTCGCAAACTATCCGATATTTACAAATTGGATTTGAGGTTATTTGACTATTCGCTAGAAGATATTTTCGGATTTTCCTTAGCGTAAACGAAATTCGAACGATGTCTTAACTTTTGGATTTTACACTTTTATACAAACTATCTCTTGTACATACAAAGAATGTAATAAAGTACGAACTTAACCTAAAACACCTTCACTCTTGCACCGAGTCACCGCATTGTACCGCACACAGGGAAGACTGGCACTGACTGCACACGTAATTTGTGTTTCAAATGTACATATAGGCTAGCGACATGTGTTGGAATTCTCTGGAAACTTACCAACGGAGTAATTGGTAAGTAACCTAAGCGTCCGTCTTGTAGCGACATCTGCTGGAAATACCGAGCGTTAAAATCGAATTCAACGTCCATTTTCAATATTCTACGCGCGTATTTCAAGGGAAACAACAAGAGAATCGTAACACTTGTTGCAGACTGCATAAAAATATGTTCACCGAGTTTTCTTAATAATTGAATTCGCGCGAATGGGAAATTCGAGTAACAAAAAGAAACGCCATGAAGTTGAAAATTACGCGAGTCAGGTAATTCATTTAATCCCTAACCTCTACTTCTACCGTCTGGAAGATTTATAATCGATAATTATTAATTTTTTCAGTTTCATCTGATGATTGTAAAACTAACCTGTGTCAATTTTCATATTGCAGTACAGTCTCAGCGATATTCTGAATAAAGCATGTACCGGAGCATCGCGTTTGTCCTCTGAAGATCTCAGCCGCTATTCCCAAGTCTCTCCAAAAAGGTTCTAAAATTAGTGCAGTGTCTAAATTACTTCTCGCACTTTGTAATTATAAAGGTTTAACAGTTTCGTTCCATTATTGCAGCTGGAGCGAAGGTACTTTAAGCAATCCTTATGGACGTTCAAAGACGCAGTGGCCAGTAGCGCGGTTTGAGGCCATATTTTTGCCTGAATTTAAAGTTTTGAAAAATCCACTGAAGTCAGAATTTGCTTTCGTGGATTTAATTGAAACAGGAGCTTATCGTCAGGTGTACAAGGTTCGCGAACGTGGCATCGGAGGTGTTTATGCACTTAAGGTTCTCAATAAAGCGAAAATCCTTGCTGATGATGCAGTTGTACAGGCAAAACAAGAGGTATAAAATGCATTTAAGAGTAACGTTCTTATTCACCTTAAACAATGTAACTATAGGTTGCAATCCTGAAAGCAGTTGGTCACTATCCGTTCATTCTGACCCCAGTACGTCACTGGCAAGGCAGAAAGACATTGTATATATGTAAGTTTCATGCATAGATTTAAAAATTCAGACAGAGTTATTTACAACAACGTCGTTTCAGTAACAGAATATATTGGAGGAGGAGAACTATATTCACTGATAGAAGATTATGGATGTCTGCCCGAGGATGTCGTTCGAATATACATTGCTGAAATCGCCTTGGCCTTAGGTATGGTAAAACATTTCAGTACCGTATCCATTTAAATCATATTCAAACTTCTAAACGGATGCATTTCTGGTCATCAGATTTTCTTCATAATGCCGGAATCATACATAGAGATTTGAAGGCAACAAATGTTCTTCTCAATGACGAAGGACACGCCGTCCTCATAGACTTTGGATTAGCCAAATGGTTACGGCCGACTCACAAAACATCCACATTCTGTGGCACAGCAGAATACATGGGTAAAGACGTTTGTGGAAATATACACGAATCACGGGCTCTTAAAAAAATATACCAATACATGTTTCTTTGTATTCCGTTAATGACTTCTAAACTACGTTTCAGCTCCCGAAGTGTTAAGGGGAGAATATTACGGACACGAGGTCGATTGGTGGTCCCTTGGAGTATTGGCGTGCCTCCTGCTTACCAATCAAGTAAGTGAGACAAACTTCTTGTAATTAGCTCACGTTAAGATAAATACAATTGTCTGTATATTGATCCGTGAATTCCCGTGGGCCGTATTACTTGTATATAAGAACCAATGAACATATCGACTCCGTGGCGCAACGGTAGCGCGTCTGACTCCAGATCAGAAGGTTGCGTGTTCAAATCACGTCGGGGTCATTTATATATTTTTTTCCTTTTTCAACAAATATAAATCGCATTCTAGACAAGATGTAAAACATTCGATAATAAATTAGAAGCCCTCAATTGTCTGGAAATTGGAATAATCCGTCGAACTAAAATTCTAACCCTGTCATGTAGCGGACGCCTTTGTGCAGAGTGAAAATCATTGATTTAAATCAATCGATTCGATTGGAAAGTCGAACGAATGCGAAGACGTGTATTATTATTAAAGGTGGAGGATTGTTTCGGGATAAAAAAAAAATAATCGCCCCCGGGTGGGCTCGAACCACCAACCTTTCGGTTAACAGCCGAACGCGCTAGCCTATTGCGCCACGGAGGCGGTTGAGGAATCTAGCTCATCTACCACATATACTGCTGATAACGAATCTACGAGAAAATCCTCACTGTTATCGACACCGTAGGCGACTAAACGTCCGCCTATCAGTAGATTTTTCCATCCTAATGATCGAATAAACGTTACGAAACGAAAGAAAGCGAGAAAATTGCTCAACGCTCCACGTCGATCTATTACCAGAGTCTACAGTTCCGAACGCGTCCTTTCGGATTTTTAATTCATTCCGCAGTCCATGTTCATAAAACCCCCACAAATATGCATTTATTCTCCTCGTACACGGATTCGTAGAACACGCCCAACTGTTGGCTGCGGCAATTGACTGTTTTTCCCAACATGAAATTCTTCCAGGTCACTTGATATTCAATTAAAGAGTCTTAACCAATAAGTCATGGCGGTATTTACATCTTTGTGCGAACTCCGTTTTAAAGCGTGTAAACAAAAAAGAAAAAAAAAAGAACAGAGTGTCACGACGTACCAAACGTAAGAGATAAGGCGTTTATGATATGCAAGTGCAGTCAAAAACAATGAATTTTCACGTGCCGGCGGGACAACGGGAGCGGAAGGTAGCCATTTGCAATTTATTCACGAACTAAGACCTGTAAATTCCAGTGGACAAAGTATGTGTCATCGAGTGTCAGGGATGTCTCGTGAGACAGAAGATGGAACCTCGGTAATGGCTGATAATCAGCCTTATGGAAGAAAGATAAGCCCGTGAAGAAATTGAAATACCCACACACGCGTGGAACGCACTTCTCAACGATCTGCATGTTCACTCGGATACATATCTCCCCGTTAGATCCGTCGATTAATCCACCGGTTGCGAAATCTGCCTTGACATTTAGCCGCGTCCAAATGACCTTATACAAATGGCGGCGTTCCTCTTTCTCCCGTGCCCATTTTCTCATGCTTAATGCGTGCATTTGATAGATCGCCGAGCAGCATTGGATTCGCCGTGTGTCGATATACAGGAAGGTTTGCGCAACGCGATCATTCGAGGCTTCTGCCGAGGGCGGCCAGTCCCGATTTGCCCTCTTCGATCGTGTTTACCGGCCCGGAACGGAAGCGCCCGATTATCGTATCAAATAATCGGCAATAAGTGCTTATCCTGGGAATGTAACGTCCTTGCGCGACACCGACTCACCTAGATTAATCCGTTATGCCAATGTTCCTTCGCTCCGTGCCAATTCGCCCGCGAAGACCCGACCGAGGCGCCGCCTGGCGGGAGCGTCCTCAACAACTCGGCACGTGAAACCCCGGCATGTAAATCCCTTACATTAACCACGAATTCGTCAAACCAGAGTTCAAAATGAACGTCGTCAAGATTTACCCTCGAACTTAGCGTTTCAAGAAATTCATACGAAACTGCGATTCTTAACCCATCGCCGTACAAATTACGAGGCCACTCTCACAATGTTCATTACTTAGGTCCTACACTTTTTTTAATCACAAATCGGACTCGCCTAAGTATGGCGAGGGGTTTATACGGGAACTCTGGGACGGGATGGGACCGGTTAACCGTGATAAGAACGTTACGAAAGCTTCGTCTGAAATAAGTTACACGCTAAGGGCATTTATTACTTGCTCACCAGCTCGAAAGGGGCAGAGGGCGGGTGTCTCGCGGATCTCGGAGATATTTGGAGGGAAATTTCCTGGCCCGCTGCCCCCTTCCCGTGTACGTGTAGCGCAGGTCCACTGGGAATATCCCTCGTCGCGCTAATCGCTAACATTATCAACGGCGATCCCTACGATTAATCGTAACGACGTTACAAGTAATGACGACAATAGCGGAGCGGTGGGGGTAGGGGAGGGGAAAAAAAAAAAGAAGATAAAGTCAATCGTGTCGTGTCGCGTTGGTGACGGAGAGATGGCGATGACGATACTAAACGTAGTAATAACAGATACCGGCGTAAATAATAATAATNGGGGAGGGTGGGGGTAGGCGGTGGCTAAAAGGACCGTCGTTGCTCGCGTCGCGGTAATCGGGAAGGTCCATCCAAGGGATAAGGGAATTCCCTAGGGAAGGTCGGGGACACGTAGGGCCTTGCCAAGAAACGACGTCTCCCGTCGCGCCCCTCGCGAAGTTTTCGGGCGGTCGCGACGCGTGGCCGTAAGGGCCATATTCCCGCGCACGGTCGAGGGATTACGGCCCTTACGGCGCGCCCGCCGGCGCATCTCGGTCTCTCGGAGATGCGTCGGAGAAAGACGGTGATAGCGCGCCGGGGAAAAAAAAGGGATTGGATCCTGCGTCTCCCACGTAATGCCTTGTCGTGCTCTCGCCCTGTCCTCTTCTACCATCCTCTCTCCCTCCGCCAGGGTCGACAATCCTGCCGACGTCCCGGCCGTCTCGCTCTTCAAGAATCGCGTCCTCGCAATCACTCTCTCTCTCTCTCTCTCGCTCACTCTCCCGTCATTCTCTCCGTGTCTCCCTCTCTCTCTCCGGGTGTTTGCCTCTCGTAGTCAGCGCCTTTAAAAAAAACGTGCGTTCCCGTGGATCGGGGGTGTCCTTACTGGCCGTGGGGTTTGGGCTCGTTCAGCTCCTGCGGTTTCGGGAGCTCCTCCGCCTTGGGCTCTTCGGGAGCCTTCTGGGCCTCGGCCTTCTTCAGGGGCTCCTCGCTGATGGCCGGATCCGCGGCCTTGGCCAGGGGGGAGACCTCGTCCTTGGAGGCCTTCGGCTCCTCCGGCGTAACCGGGGTCTCGGGCTTGGTTCTGGGCTGGGCCTGGGACTCGGTCTCCGTCTGTCGCTTGGCCTGTGCTACGCCCTCGACCTGCTTCGTCTCCTCCGAGGACTCCACCGAGGACTCGGCCGACGCGTCCGCGACCTTCTGGGGCTCGGCCTCCTTCTGCTCCTTCGGCTCCTTCACCTCCTCCGAGGACTCCTCGCTGCTCTTCTCGGCCTTTTCTGCCTTTTCGACCGCCTCGGGCTTCTTCGACTCCTGGGGCTTGTCGGACTGCTGAGGTTCCTGACCCTGCTGGGCTTGCTGGGCCTGCTCCGGCACCGGGGACTGCTGCGCGGGCTCCGCCAGCTGCTCGGTCTTCTCGGCCTTCTCCGTCTTCTCCGGGAGGTTCGCCGGCTCCTCCAGCTTCTTCTCCAGCACCACCGCGGACTCCTCGGACTTGGCCTGCGGAATCGGCACGTCCCAGGAGGCTGCGGCTGCCACTGCGGCCGCCGCCGCGGCTGCGATCTCCTCGGCCTCCCTGGTCACTCGGTCGGTCTTGTCCTGGACCTTGACGGCGTCCTGGGGAGCTGCCTCCGCCTTAGGGTGCTCCGGCTCCTCCGCCACTACTGCGGGGGCGTCCGCTGCGGGAGAACCGGCCAAGGCCGCAGCCTCCGCTCTCAACGGGGCTGGGGTCTCTTGCGGAACCTCGGACTCTTCCTTCACCTCCTTGATCGGCGTGACCGCCTTGGGCTCTGGGACCTTCGTCGGAGCGATGGCTTCCTCCTGAGGGAACGGAAAAATGCCGTAAGTAAAGTGTAACGCCTTGTGTAAAGTCTATCATTAAAAAAAGAGAAATATATGCAACAAAAACCGCGTAAAAATTGCGTTACCATTTAATCAATCTCGGGAGGAGGGTACCTAGAGTCAAACCCTGAAGCCTCACCTTCTTTTCTAGCGGAGCGTCGGCAGCGGGTGCATCAGGTGCAAGCTGCGCCGGGACCGGGCTCGCGTCCTGCACGGCTCCCTGGGGCTCAACGGACTGGGGCAGCTCCTCCTTCTTCTCGAGCGGCGCCTCCTCTTCCTGCTTCTTCTCGGGCTCAGCCAGGGGCTTCTCCTCGGCAAGCTGCGCCGGTTTCTCGACGCTCTCCAGCAACGCCTCCTCGGAGTCCAGCTTCTTCTCGGTAGGCTTCAGAGCGGGCTCCGCCGGCTTCGGTTCCCCTGGGACCGCAGGATCCGCCGCCGGGATGCTGGCCGGCGCGGGTTCCGCGGGAACCACCGGTTCGTCCGTCTTCTGCGGCTCCGCCACCGCCGTCGCCCCCGCTGCCAGGGGTACCACCGACAAGGCCCCGTCCGCTGGGGCCGGCTCTCCCACCGGCATCGCCTTCATCGTCTTCACCGCCAGCAGGCACACTGCCACTGCCAGAATCGTCTTCATGGCTGCTCCTGGAATTCAACGGGGCGATTAGATCGACGGTGACGAGGAGAGGGAGCTCTCGAAGTCGAGGGACCGCTAACGAGGGCCGAGAGGAAGAGGAAGAGCGCCGACGTGACGAGGGGAACGCAGCCCTCGCCGGCAATTGGAGGCCGCAGGAGACACGGCCACCGAAAGGTGCTCCCGGTCATTGATGTCAATGGAATCCTGGAGCGCAATCTTCTACTTTGCGATCCTACGGAGCGGACGAGGGTGAGCGCCGTCCGGCACGAATCAATGGACGCGCCGAACGAAACGCCGCCCGCTAAATGGAAACGTCAGGCGGAACGCCGGAGGGACCCCGAGTGACATTGAACCGAATGCACTGAATAAGGCGAGCGTCATGGAGATAATGACAGGATGCATCGCTCGTTACGCGCTCGACGGTATGCGAATCGCGCGCCCTCCCCGCCTGAATGCGAGGCGAGGCCTAAGGAAGTCCATCCCCGGACCCCCTGGAGAACCGGAAAAGGGCGAGCTGGACCTCCCGAGTACCGCGGTGTCGTCTCTCCTAGGTCCGGTTCCTCTCTTTCGTCCTTAGGACGGTACGCGAGGGCTTGGTACCGAAGCTCGGCACTCGTAACCGGAGAACAATGGCTGGACCCTTTCGTATGCCGGTTCCTGGTGGACATCAAGGGCGACAATGGTCGTAGGATGCGCACGTCAGATTCTTATTAATATCCCGGTAGAAGGGAAAAACTTAGATGGTGCCCGACGTGTACCTCGGGAACCGTGGAGAGGTGGAGGCACCGAGTGCTCGGAGGGCTTTGATAACGTCTGCAAACTCCAGCTGGTATGTAGCGAGCGATAAGCTGCGGAACAACCCATTAACGCTCGTTTGGAGAGCTCGCTAACCAAATTAGGAGGCGCGACGAGTGTCCCTGAGATCTGTGCATCGAAGGTCGGTGTAAGAGCCAAGGATCTTCAGGAAGGACGATAAGGATCCAACCGCGGCGTTTCTTCCGGATCCTCCAGACCGAGGGAAAACTCGGAGGCGGCGGTGCGACATGGCGAACGACCGCGGAAGAAGATCCGAAAGTGGGCAAGAAACGCGGATGGGTCCTCGGATCATCAAGATTGGATGTGCGACTCGCCTGGGAGTCTGCTTAAAGACGAGGCTGGGGAAATTTCGCCATCGAGGGAGGACCCGGAGTCGGCAAAGGAGGTGCAGCATGGCGCGGTCCAGTTTTTGCCAGGCTGCAGCTGCACCTGCCGTGGAGGCAACGAAGGCGAGCGTGAAACCGGCGAAACGGACTCGTAAAAAAATCGAAAGGCACCTTTCCCGGTGATCATTCGTTTCCCGCGAGTCTGTCGGTCGTTTCTCCGCTCGTTGCTTCGCCAACGACTTCCAGAAACCTCCTCCGGGTGTCCCCGAAGGACGGAAGGCACTCACCCGAGATCTCGAATAGGGAGTTCCAGGGAGGCGCGTCCACCGTGGGAAGCCGACGACGAAGACGCCGAAGGGGACCGTTTGAGAAAGCGGGAGAGCCAGGTCCAGGAGAGGAAGTGGCTCTGAAAGATGATGGACCATTACCTCATCAAGATCATTCAGAGAAGTAACGAGCCCGACAAAGAATCCCCTTAGGGGGCAGACCGAGGGGTGCGGGGGGTCGTGGGAGTCCCGGAAACGCAGACAGGATTCAACTTCCGCCGGTCGACAATGGCCGCTTCTCTGCCAGGTGTCACGATCCCGAAGAAACTCTTCGTGACGCAAGGGAAGGCTTGAGTAATCCTACGATTACCGTGCTGGATGCAATCTCCCGCAAGGGAAAAGGCTCGCCATTTCTCTCGGGCCCCAATCTTCAACCTCTTCGTCCTCCTCTGAGGCGAAGAGAAGACCGAGCCTCCGCGAGCGCATCCTCGACCGATTCTCCTAACTCCTTGCCATTTCCGGCTAATTTCCGCTCCGAGCCGTGGTACAAGCGTTCCTCTGGTACCGACACTTGGTACCGTCCGTCAACCATCGATTCGACATTTAAGAACCTGCGTTAGTCCCTCCTTAGCTGGCCAAAAATCGTCTTCCGCGCCCTGGGGGGAGTGTGAAAAAATTCCCGAAAAATTCCCCAGACTCCGAAAATACTCGCGATTGCCTCCACCAGGGAAGGTACGCCTCTCATCTTCGACCTTAACATCTACAGCGGGCTGAGCCCTAGCAAGAGGGTACTCACGTGGAAGCTCTTCCTGGTGCAACCTGGTCCTCGCGTGGCGAATGTCTGCTGCTCCTCCTGGAGCGCGTTCACGAACTCGGGGGTGATCGAGTGGGGTGCACGGTCCCGGGGAACCAGAAGGGTGCTCTTCTTCGAGTGGTGATGCGCGCGCGCGAGAGAGAGTGCGATCGGAGCGAAGCGACCGTGAGGAGGGTAGGGTCGTGAGTCGTGTCGGAGCGGCTCGGGCCCCGCTTATATACGCGAGCCCTCCTGGTGGAGGGGGGAGGGCCGCCGGACCCGGCCCCACCCGCCCCTCCCCCCGCGCCCCCTACCCTTTTCTTCTCTTCTCCTTTCTTCTCTTTTCTTCTCTTTTCCGGCCCCTCGTCTTCTCCTCTCTCTCTCTCTACTCCTCTTCTCGAGTTCCTCCTCCCCTCCCGGCCGACCGGCCGCAAGACCCGAGAGACTGCCAAGGGCCCTTGATAACTTATCCAGAGATGCGCCTCTACTCTTAGGGCCCTCTGGACCACTGGGGTAGGACCCTATCCTAGGGACAATTTTCGGAATCTAGTTCTGGTCGCTGGATTTCTTTTTGAAGGGCTTGAATGGCCGTTTTCGATTTTTTTTCCTAAGTGGAGATCCGAATGTGTAGGGACTTTTTTTAGCGTCCTGACTACTCCTTGGGTCCGTAACGGTCCAGGCGCGGATGCTGGGTCTCTCGTAGCTGGCTCGACGGAATTTTTCTAGTGATTTCGAGACCCAGACCGTTCGACGATCCGGTCTCGAATAAATCACATCCGATCAATCCTCGGGTTAGTGACCCCTGGCCTTGCGCTTGGGCCTGGAAAAAACCCAAACAGTACCCTGCTTCTGACCCAGTGGATCGGGAGATGATCCCTCTTGGTCCAGGCTTAGGCGAGAAGTCCCGGATGTCCCGGAAATTGCGCTTTTTCACCAGGAGCAACAACCAGGAACGACCAACTACGAGCAAGAATGCGAGTACGCGCGGCATGTGCCGGACGCGTAACGCCTGATAATTGAAACGCACCGATGTGAGAGGTACAAAGGCAATTGTCGACGAGGAGCGAAGTTTACAGTTTGTCAACACGAAGTGCACGAGTTCTCGCGGCGTCGAGTCATTACGGCGTGCGATGAGGAAAACGATGTATTAAAAAGAAATGAAAAATTACTGCGACGAGATCGAGACTCTTGGGATCGAAGACGCGAGACGCTTCCTATGGTTTGGAACGAGGGGAGGACCTCGGAAATCTTTGGTGGAAAGTCACTAGGAACACTTATCTAGGAGTACTTTTCCGGGACTAGATAAGGACCCATCCACTTCCAACGCCGTATCTTCGGCTGAACGAAAGGGAAGGAGGAACCTTTTCTTCAAACTCTAAATCTTCTCGATTGAAAATGACTAAAACGTTATCTTGGAAGCCGGGAACGATTTTTTTGACGTTTAGGGACTTTTACTTGAATGTTGAGCGTCGTACCTACATTGTCATGGGGTTGTACTTACGTTGCCATGGTATCATACCTACATCGTCATGGCGTCGTACATTGTTATAGCGTTGTACCTACATTGTCATGGTATCATACCTACATTGTCATGGCATCGTACCTACATTGTCGTGGCATTACACCTACATTGTCATGGTATCATACCTACATTGTCATGGCGTCATACCTACATTCTCTTGGTATCATACCTACATTGTCATGGCATCATACCCTACATTGTCACGGCATCATACCTACATTTTCATGGCATAGTACCTACATGGTCATGACATTATACTTACATTGTCACGGCACCATACCTACCTACATTGTCATGACATTATACATACATTGTCACGGCATCATACCTACCTACATTGTCACTGCTTGTACCTGTGCGGCACACCTGGGAATCTGGTCTTGGTTCTCGTGCCGGCAGTCGACGACTGTATACGGCTGTATCGTGTAAACACGGTAGAGAGCCTTTCGAGTGACTGCGAATTTCACGGATGCCACTCGCAGGTCGACCGAGGCGTGTCCAGGCTCGCAGGTGGGAGTCGGCTGCGTGGAGTTACCTGCTGGGCCCCTGGCTCGGGTCTTAAGGTCAATGATTCGCCGGAGACAGTTTCCTATCCTTACCTCCTGCGTCTAGTTCCTAGACTTACCTCTCTTCTGGTCCCCCTACACCTTTCATTCCGCGACTGGCCCGAAAAAACACTAGGATCCAATTAAATCATCCAGCTCAAATGAAAAGGTTCCTTAAAAAAAAAAAAAAAAAATTAATTATCAAAGGTCTCGACGCCTAAGATTTATTTTTCTCATTTTTATTTTTTCAATAATAATCCGTACACCGAGAAAGGAACAATTGAGGCAAGGGACTGTTCCGTTAATTCAAAGAATAATTTCATTCCGCTGAAATAAATTGTCATCGTTCCGGATTAATTTTGCATCCTATTTATTCGGACTTATTTCAGTCGGATAATTATTCTTTGAATTAATGGAATGTTTCTACGGTTAGGTGAGATTTTTTTTTCTTTTTTTTCTTGGCGCAGTTTGGAGATGGTTTACAGGTGATACGGTCTCGTCGGCGCCACTTCGCGGGGATTCGGTCCGAGCGGATCATTACAGGATTCGCAGGTGGAGTCGTTACCTGTCGGGCGAGTCATCGACGTCAACCGGTGAAGGTCGGAAGGTCGATGATTCTCTGGAGAACGCGTTGACGGTCCCGGACGACCTTCTGGGAGCCTCTCGGAAAGCAGCCAGCTGCAGCTGGCTGGTTCTCGCCTTTTTACGCGTCTATTGCGACGTATTATGCAAACATTCCGAAGTGGAAAACTCGGAGGAAAAAAAAAAGTACTTAGATATTTATGTAACCGAATCACCCCGAGGCCCGCAAAAAGGAGGAAACACGTCCGCGCGTTTACGAATCTCGGGAGCGATCGAGGAAAAAAGATGAGATCATAGTAATGGCTAAGGAGCGATATCAGCGATCGGTCGTCTCGTAAAATCAAGAAAACTTCATAAATCGGAAATGATCGCTTGTACCTCGAGAATAGAAAAAGAATTCCAACCAGAGGAATATTTCGCTGATTCGAATCATTTTTTTATTATAATAATTATTCTTTGAATCAACGAAATATTTCGCTGATTCGAATCATTTTTTTGTTATAATAATTACTCTTTGAATAACGAAATATTTCTTCGGTTTGATAGCATTTATTCCCCGGTGTGGATATTTATATAAGGATAATCCTCAAAAAAATTGAAGAAATACCGCGTTTATGAATCTTGGGAACGTTCGAGGAAAAAAAAAGGTAATAGTAATGACTAAGTAGTGATATAGGCGATCGGTTGGCTCGTAAAGTCAAGAAAACTTCACGAATCGGAGATGACCGACGTGGACGCGTGCGTCTTATTGGCTTCACTTATTGACTATTGACTTATTGGCTTCGCTCGTTGACTCCTTCCGGCGTCGTTGAACGGGAGGGCTTCTCTCGAATTTCTTTTTCTCTCTTTGAAGAGGTCGAGGGGCTCCTCGACGACCTCGAGGCACTTCCTAGAGGAAGGACCGGTCATGAATCGCCTACACCTACGCGTGTATTATGACATTAAGGGATCTCGCGCCATTTCTGCGGCATTCTCCTCAAAGTCGCTCTTTCTCTTTAACTTGTCCCTGGAATTAGTCGGACGTTGGCATAACGTCAGGATTAGTCTAGGTCGACGAAGGAACAATGGTCATTTTCTAGTTCGACGGAAAACATGCGATTACGATTGTCACATTTAAGGCAATACGAAAGTTGCCTAGAGAGGTCTCGCTTATCAAACTTTTCTCTGGAAAGGATGTATAGAATCGTTTCAGATCTTACAACGTAAATATGGAGGCCGCAAGGAAGGTCCTGGCACCCAGATTTTAATTTTTCGAAGATCCCTGTGGATATTTATAAACATTTTTTATCAACAATGAAATTTCGCCAGTACCTCCGCATTCACGTAGTATGGTTTGAAAGGATTCGGTGTACCCAGTTAAGAAAAAAGTCCCACCAGCGGAACCTCTTCGAGGGCACTTTCGTATCACCTTAATCAGCTTCGATTCGAATATCAAGAAAAGATCATCGCCAGGGCGCAGAAGTCCGTCGAGAAGTCGACGCCGGGAAAACACGATCGAAATGTCTTTCCCGCTCCAGATTGATCTCGTTTTCCTTGAAAAGTGGACTGTCGAGTTTTGCTTTTTCCCCCGCGTCTTTTTTTTTCCTCTCTTTTTTTTCTCGCTCCAATTGTCGTTGCGGAGACATTACGTAAACGATGTCGTAGTGGCTCGATTTGGAGGAAGTCCGAAACAGCTGATGCACCCACGTGGAGACATCGATTCCGACTTCCGTATAGAGGACCTCGGTGGAAAATAAGAGACGCAGAGTCCCCTTCGATCAGTCCCGATCGATCGCTTTTTAATCGAAGTCCGAGTAATAGTTGTCCCCAACGGTAACGGTACCAACTAGCTCGCGCAACTATTAACGCCGTTGCGTGCAAAACCGGTGCGAGTAGTCTTCCTCGTCCTGTCTGATGGCTTGGGGGCTAATTAGCGAGTCCTCGCGATGGATCCGCAATTAGCGACATCCTTCGAGGAGCGTCCAGGCGGCGCCGCGACGCTTCCGACTTTTCGGAGAGCTCGACGACTCGGCTCCTCCCGCAATTGGTCCAATTGCCCGGCTCTTCTTTTTTTTTCCCTTCTCCTCCCGCACTCCTCGAGAGACGTTAATCGCACTCGTCAATTGCTCGAAATTGCACGAACTCGCGATTCCGCCGGGCGTCCTCAAGGCTAAACTTTAATCTTCCGCCGGAGAAATTTCTGACTCATCCTCCCCGGACCCTCCAAGGATGCCTCTCGTTCCTTTATCCTCCGCCGCGCGTTTCCCTCCACTATTTCCCCAATCGCGGCCTCCGCGATTGGGATTGGACTTCCGTTCCACCTGAAAAAAAAAGAAAAAAATAATTCCCGACGGCGATTACATTTTTTTCTTTTTTTTTTCTAAGGATAACCGGCCAATATTTATATCCCAACTATTTTCGCTCCTGGTGCGATTATTCTTCCAGCAAGGGCAGATATCCTTATTTTTCCTTTTCCGTCCAAGGACCATTGTCAGAGTCTAACCACGTGCGTTGTCGATCCTTGTTCGACACATGGGGGTCCTAGGACCGTAGAAATATGCAAATGGACCA